CACAGCTACAATCATCTGATCTTTGACAAACCTGACAAAAACAAGCAGTGGAGAAAGGATTCCCTATTTAATAAATGGTGCTGGGAAAACTGGCTAGCCATATGCAGAAAGCTGAAACTGGACCACTTCCTTAAATCTTACACAAATATTAACTCCAGATGGATTAAAGATTTAAATATAAGACCTTACATCGTAAAAGCTCTAGAAGAAAACCTAGGCAATACCATTCAGGACATAGGCATGAGCAAGAACTTCATGACTAAATATCAAAAGTAATGGCAACAAAAGCCAAAATAGACAAATGGGATCTAATTAAACCTAAGAGCTTCTGCACAGCAAAAGAAACCAACACTAGAGTGAGCTGGCAACCAGTAGAATGGGAAAAATTTTTTGCAATCTACCCATCTGACAAAAGGCTAATATCTGGAATCTACGAACTTAAACAAATTTACAAGAAGGAAACACAACCCTATCAAAAAGTGGGCAAAGGATATGAACAGACACTTTTCAAAAGAAGATGTTTATGCAGCCAACCACTAACATATGAAAAAAAGCTCATCATCATCACTGGTCATCAGAAAAATGCAAATTAAAATCACAATGAGATACGACCTCACACCAGTTAGAATGGCGATCATTAAAAAAATCAGGAGACAGATGCTGGATAGGATGTGGAGAAATAGGAATGCTTTTACACTGTTAGTGGGAGTGTAAATTACTTCAACCATTGTAGAAGACAGTGTGGTGATTCCTCAAGAATCTAAAACTAGAAATACCATTTTACCCAGCAATCCCAGTATTGGATATATACCCAAAGGATTATAAATCATTCTATTATAAAGACACATGCACACACATGTTTACTGCGGCACTGTTCACAATAGCAAAGACTTGGAACCAACCCACCAATGTCCATCAATGATAGACTGACTAAAGAAAATGTGGCACATATACACCATGGAATACTATGTGCCATAAAAAAGATGAGTTCATGTCCTTTTGCAGGGACATGGATGAGACTGGAAACTATCATTCTCAGCAAACTGACACAAGATCATAAAACCAAACACCGCACGTTCTTACTCATAAGTGGGTGTTGAACAATGAGAACACACAGACACAGGAACATCACACACTGGGTATTTTGGGGGCTGGGGTTTAGGGGAGGAATAGCAGGCGGTGAGGCGATTGGGGAGGCATAGCATTAGGAGAAATACCTAATGTAGATGACGGGGCAATGGATGCAGCAAACCACCACCAGAGAATGTGTATACCCATGTAACAAACCTGCATGACCTTCACATGTTCCCCCAAGCTTAAAGTATAATAAATAAATTTTTAAAAAAGAAATAAGACAAAAGCAAAATGTAGTTCAATACATAAGAAGGCAAAGGGGGAGAACAAAAAAGGCATGGATTACAATGTAAATAAGAAATAAAAACACACCAATAGTCACAATAAATAGAACTACAATAAGCTCACTAACTAAAGACAAAACTTGCCATCATCGATTAAACGAAAAATAAACTGGACTGTAGACTGTCTAAAACACCCCAATAGTCATGATAAACAGAACTACAATAAGCACTATAATTAAAAACAAAGCCTGCCATTCACTGTCTAAATAAAAATAAACTGAATTGGATATCTGAAACAAAAAGTTGGAAATTATTGAATGTTTAGAGCAGGACAAAGATATACCTGGTAAACATATTAATCAAAAGATAAATGTAGCTTTATTAATAATAGACAAAATAGAGTTTTACCTGAACCATTTCTAGAAATAAACAAACTCATTATACAGTGATAACAGTTTAATACATCAGAGAGATAAAATATAATAAACATGCATATAAAATGATACAGCATAAATTAAAACAATAATTAACAAGACTGTAAAGGCAATTAACAAATTTACCACAGTGACAAGTATTTGTAAATATCTGTTAAATCCAACAGACACAACAATAATATAGAGACTATATGAATATCACAATTAAGATGAATGCACCGAACCATTGCACAAAACATATTTTTAAAGCAAAGATTAGTCATGAATACTGGTCACTTCCAAGGTCATATCAGGCTGAAGCTATTGAGAAGACACAATGATAGTCCTTTACCTAAATGTGACACAAGGAGAGATAAATAGGAAAGGATGTTTGAAAAAACAACGTTTGCAAAGAAGAAAAACACATTACAGAAAAAAAAATATATGGGTTAAGGAGAAATAACAAACAACAGAAAAAATTAGAATTGAAACATAACAAATACTCTATTTTACGCTGGTGGAATTCAGGTAAGGTAGTTCTGAAGGGAAAATTACAGCCTTCAATGTTTACATTGGAAAAGAAAACATGCTTGAAATTAATGAGTTAAATTCCCAGCTCAAGAAGTAAGAAAGAAAAAATCCAGCAGAATGAAACCAAATATTAGGAGAAAGAGAATAAGAAAATAATAAAGACACAAGGATTAAAATGAGTTAATATTGTTCATTGGCCTCTTAAAACAATCCAATTTATTCACTAATCATAAATAATATTAAGAAAAATAATAGAGAAAATGATAGTTTTTTTCTTCCTATTTGCAACATTTTTGGAAATATACTTTTATAGATAATCATACATACAAGAAAAGTAAATTAACACTGAATGCTAATGGTGAGAGTTTTGAAGTTGGACAGGAGAAATGTTTTTCCCAGATATTAACTTGCTGTTGTGAAACAATTTAATTGGGTTAATCTTGCTCCCAAACTTTTCATGTTGTATGAGGTTTTCTGACTCTTATTACAAGAACTTCCATAGAAATTGATCAACACCTATAACCATATTACAACAAACTTACAATTCTTAAATTAAAAATAACTATACCAAGAACTATGCATGCATTCATGTATTCCAAGTCAGTTGTAACTTTTTGCATCTAGAAACTATTTATGTTACATGAGTGTTTGATTCAGAGTTTCCACTGTGAATATTACAAAAACCTAGACAACTCCATACCATGATTATCTCCTAATAACTTTCAGTTATCATAAGAACATCAAACTTGTTTTAAAAAATTGCAATTGCGTTACCACCACAGCCAATGATAGTACTTGAGTTCTTCCAGCTAAATAAGAATCAAAGGCAAACTACAAACTACCCATAGGTAGTTTTTCAACTCGTTTCCCCCTTTCCATTCTTCCCCATCTAATAGTCTTCAGTGTCTATTATTCCCATGTTTGTGTCTATGGGTGCTCAATATTTAGCTCCCACTTATAAGTGAGAACTTGTGGTATTTAAATTTCTGTTCCTGTATTGATTCATTCAGTATTATGGCCTTCAGCTCCATCCATGTTGCTACAAGGACAAGAGTTCGTTCTTTTTTTATGGCTGTGTAGTATTCCATAGTGTATACATACCACATTTTCTTTATCCAATCCACCACTGATGGGCATCTAGGTTGATTCCATGTCTTTGCTATTGTAAATAATTTTTAATTTCTTCTTGAGTAAGAACTTAGTAGCAATATTTTCTGGAAATTTTGTCCATTTTAGTCAATGTTTTTCAGTTATTGACACAATGTTCACATGATTCGTTTATTCTCATTTTGTTGCCTGAAGACTCTATGGTTATAACAATCTTTTAAAATCTTTTTTCCCAAATATTAGATAATTGTGCTTTCTCTATTATTCTTCATCTTTCTTAATCAAACATGTTTTCATCTATTTCCTTGGGATTTTTGTCTATTTTTTTTTTCGAGACAGAGTTTTACTTGTATCACCCAGACTAGAGTGCAGTGACGCAATCTTGACTTGCTGCAACCTCCACCTACTGGGTTCAAGTGATTCTCCTGCCTCAGACTTCCAAGTAGCTGGGATTGCAGGCACTTGCCAACATGCCCAGCTAATTTTTGTATTTTTAGTAGAGATGGGGCTTCACCATGTTGGCCAGGCTGGCCTCAAACTCCTGATCTCGAGTGATCCACTCGGCCTCCCAAAGTGTTGGACTTACAGGCGTGAGCCACCACATCCAGCCTTGTTTATTTTGTTTGTTTGTTTGTTTTCATAGTCTTGCTCTGTCACCCAGACTGGAGTACAGTGGTGGGATCTCACCTCACTACAGCCTCCCTATCCTGGGTTCAGGTTCAAGTGATTCTCATGCATCGGCACCCCAGAAGAGCTGGACTTACAGCTTTGTGTCACCATGACAAGCTAATTTTTGTATTTTTAGTAGAGATGGGGTTTTGCCATGTTGGCCAAGTTGGTCTCAAACATATGACTTCCAATGATACTCCCACCTTGACCTCCCAAAGGGCTGGGATTACAGACATGAGCCACCGCACCTGACCCATTTCCTTGTTTTTTTTCTTTTAAGTTAATTCTAACTATCAACTTTGTTCATACTTCCTAACATATGCTATTTTCATGCCACTAATTTTATCTTTTACCATTTCCTTTTTAAATATCTTTCTTTTATTTTATTGCTCTTTTTCTAACCTCTTCATATGGTTGTCTAGGCTCATTAGTTTGGGGTCTTTCATATTTCCTAATGTAAGTATTTAAGTCTGTGAATTTTCTTTCAGTTAAGTACTACTCTAGTTGCATTTTACAGGACTGGTATTCAATATTTTTCTTATATTATAGTTGAAAATAGTTTACAATTTTCATTATAATTTTTTCCTGGTTAAACTGGACATTTAGATGTATATTTTAAAATCTTAAAATATATAGGGATTTTTAAAGTGTCTTTCTGATACTGATTTTACCACAATTCCTTTTGTATCTGAGAGTGTAATTTGTATTATTTCATCCCTTCTATTGAATTAAAATTTTTAAAATTATATCTTTCAAAAAAAATTCCTGGAATTTAAGCAATTTCCATTATGAATTTTCTGAACTTTTTAGTCTATTTGAAAGATCAAACAAAAATAAAGGAAAAAGCAAATTTATATTTGAAGTGAGGTGAACCTTTGTACTTATATGAGAGTAAAATAGTAGGCTTGATGGTATAAGCTACCTTCTCCCCTGGGGTCACAGAAACTCTCCAGATGCAGTGTGTATAAGAAGGATAGCCATTGGGAAATCCTGGAGAAGAAAGATTGCCATTGGATTCTTGTAGGGTTTCTCCACATGCTGAAATGAAAAAAGATATAAGATCATTTGTTAATTTATATAAAGGACATGAATATCATAAATAAAGCCTTGAAGGGTTTTGGTATTAAATGACCAAATATTTGTATTTCATAGAAGTAGTTTCTTTTCTAAGTAAATTTCTTTTTATGTCCCTCTTACCAAAATTCCAGTATATTTAATGGCATCACTATGGTAAATCACTGAACGAAATTTTAAGATAAATAATCTGGCATTCATAAAATTCTTCCTCATTGAAACCATTCTCATTCATTTCCAAGGAGCCAGTAGCCACTCTAAAGTACACCCATATTCAGATTCAGGCCAGTGATACCTTCATGATATGGTTCTGGGGCCATGTGAAACATTTCAATAACATATTTGTTTTAAATTGAGGCTAAGTTTAAGTGAATACCATATCAAGTTTTAAAAATATTGAATAATAACTGAGTAGTCAACAAAGGCTCTAAGAAAATGTCCAACACAATAATCTTTTTTCAAAATAAGTATATACATATAATATATATATATTAATATATATATTATATATTATATATTAATATAATATATAATATATAATATATATAAACATCATGGAAGATTTAAATTTTCCAAAAAGATGCATATATTTATTTACTTTTCTCTGTTGATGTTAAGTAAAAATTGCTGAAAAAGCAACTTGTGTATTTTCCTCTTACTAGGTTTGTTTAATTCCCCAGTCATTTGAAACAGCAAAGTACTAGCTGCACAGCATCAGGGTCTGTGTTCATCCAAGGCTAGTTCTCAGCACCATTCTACAATGAACTTCCCTGTTGCTCTTGCAAGACATGCTATGTGCCACATGAACCTAGGCTGCTTCAAGCATCCTCGGCTCAAGAATAATTCCTTCACTGCAGCCAGTCCTCTTTATAACCTTCACTCAACAATTTGAAAGAACAGTTTCTTCCCTCTGAAGGACACTGCAATCAAAACGGAGCTATTATCTTATTCCAGGGCCTTAGCTACCAGCAGGTGAACTCTCATCTCATCGAATTCTCAATAAATTATAAATGGATCTGGATAGCTTGTGTTAAATAAAGAAAGACAGTGAATTCAAAAACATAGAACTCTAAAAATAGACGATATAAATATTTATTCAGAAAAATAGATATTATGTTTGTACAACACAATAAATTTAAAGTAGGAGTAAGTAATGTTTAGTCTGATGAACAGGCAGACAAAAGCAACTTTAGGACAAAATAAAAAAGCTCAAGGTCAAGAATACATAAATCAGCACTGTTCTATAAATCATCTAGGGCAGTTGATAAATGTAAGGTTAAAAGAAGTCTTAGAAAAATGAAAATGTATTAGGATTTTACTAATGCAAACAATGTGCTTCTAAATAGGATCAGTAGAATGCTAAATAATGATTTGGGATTTATGTTTCTATAAAAAAAATCTATAATTAACAGCAGTTTAAGACTAAATTCTGTAGCAACTTAAAATCCCAGCAAGTCACAGAGAATGCCAGTGCTGAATTTCCCAAAGTGCAATTAAATAAATTAAATATATTTAATCCATAAAAGTATGCATACAATACTGTTCTGATTAAGAAGATACATACTTGCTAAACAAAATACAACATACACTAAAAATTAATAAGTCTATAATATAGTACCTGATTATAATGCAAGAAGTACAAACGTGTATACTCAAGTTGTGGGAATTACTTGTGAATTTTCTTCAATAAATGTGATTGTCCCAGGCTAGCTGACCCCTGCTACATAAGATGTTTCAGAATTTGCTGATTTATTCTCAGATACAAAAGTCAAACTTTATTATTTAAAAAAACTAAAGGAAAATTAGAAAAAAAAGTTGGCACTACTAAGTTGAAATGCTTGCACTGTCCATTGACAGCAAGGTGAGTTGATAAGATGACATAAGTTTTTTAAAACTTAATTTAATTTAATTTTAGAGACAGTCTTAATTTATCACCTAGGCTGGAGAGTGCAGTGGTGCAATCTCAGCTTACTGCAGCCTCCACCTCCTAGGTTCAAGCAATTTTCTTGCATTAGTCTCACAAATAGCTGAGATTACAGGTGTGAGCCATCACTCCCAGCTAATTTTTGTATTTTTAGTAGAGATGGAGGTTTCTCCATGTTGGACAGGCTTGGTCTCACAGCTTGTGGAGCTATGTCATCTGGCAATAGATGAGGGTGCGTTACAGTAGTAGAGTGCTCCCTTAGAGTTCTAAGGGATCATATTCTTTCTTAATACAACAGTGCATAAAGAGACTTTCCTCTCCTGTCTCTAAAACCAAGAGCAAGAAATGGCAATGAAAACAATTGCAAACTAAAAGAAACTTATCCTCATACTATCTGCTTCAAAATCTAACCTATTTCTATATTGAGCTTTTTCATAATGAGTATGCATTGACTGTGCAATAACTATTTGTGGTTTCATATACCGAACTAATTTATATTTTTGGCATATATAAGTAAATATAAGAATAGATTACAAGATGTTTATCAGCTATATATTTCATAAAATGAGAGTATTATTTTAAGGAAAATTAAAATGTATATGTTTTAATGCTATCACTCTTCTGATACATTAAAAAATGTATATATTATTTAATAAAGTTCAGTAGTTTTTATAGCCAGCCTTTTAGAAACTTGCCCTTTTGGACTCAAGGCCCCACATGTTACAGACCATAAAAGCCACAACCCTGAATAACTCTATTCTTTAACAGTCAGTATTCTTTTCAAGATTAGCCTCTACGAAACAGTGCTATAAAAATGCAGATCTAATAAAGTTGAGCAAAAACTGATGAGAAAAAAAGCTGGCATTAAAGGTAGCCAAATATATTTATTGGCTTTATTTGCCAGCATTTCTGTAATTTTTTAATTTTGACTTTTATTTTAGATACAAAGAGCACATGTATAAGACAGTTACATGGGTATACTGCACCCAGGTAGTGAGCATAGAAACTAACTGGCAATTTTTCAACCCTTGTGGCCTCTCACTCTATCCCCTCTAGTAGTCCATAGTGTCTACTGTTTCCATGTTTATGTTCATGTGTGCTCAATATTTAGCTCCCACTTATAAGTGAGAACATGCAGTATTTGCTTTTCTGTGCCTGTGTTAGTTAATTTAGGATTATGGCCCCCAGCTCCATCCATGTGTCTACAAAGGACATGACTTCATTCTGTTTATGACTGCCTAGTATTCCAGGTCTATAGGTACCACATTTTAAAAATCCAGCCCACCATTGATGGGCAACTAGATTGATTCTGTGCCTTTGCTATTGTAAATAGTGCAGTGATGAACATGAGAAGCATGTGCTCTTTTGGCAGAACAATTTATTTTCTTTTGGATATATACACAGTAATGGGATTGCTGGGCTGAATAGTAGTTCTGTTTTAAGTTCTTTGAGAAATCTCCAAACCACTTTCCACAGTGGCTGAAGTAATTTAAATTTCCATCAACAAGTATATGTGTTCCCTTTAATTTACAGCCTCAGCAGCATCTATTGCTTTTCATCTTTTTAATAACAGCTATTCTGACTGGTGTGAGATGATGTCTCATTGTAGTTTTGATTTGCATTTCTCTGATGTTTAATGATGATGACCATTTTTTTTTCATAAGAGTGTTAGTGCTTGTATGTCTTCTTTTGAGAAGTTATTTGTTTATATCCTTTGCTTATTTTTTTAATGGGGTTATTTGTTTTACTTGCTGATTGGCTTAAGTTCTTTATAGATTCTGGATATTAGGTCTTTTTCAGATGCGTAGTTTGTGGATATTTGCCTCATTCTGTAGGTTTTCTGTTTGCTTTGCTGTTGGTTTCTTTTGCTGTGTAGATGCCATTTAGTTTAATTAAGTCCCACTTGTCCATTTTTATTTTTGTTGCAATTGCTTTGGAGGACTTAGTCATAAATTCTTTCCCAAGGTAGAGGCCCAGAATAGAGATTCCTATGTTTTATTTAAGGCTTCCTATAGTTCGAGGCCTTACATTTAAATCTTTAATTCATCTTGAGTTAATTTTTGTATATAGTGAAAGGTAGAGTCCAGTTTCATCCTTCTGCATATAGCTAGTCAGTTATCCCAGTGCCATCTGTTGAATAGGAAGTCCTTTCCCCATTGCTTGTTTCTGTCTGCCTTTCCACCAGAAATTTCTAACAAAAGAGTAAGAATAAAACAAACTCCAAAGGAGTACTCAGTTTTACAACCCCCTCCTCTCCGTTTGAAAACCAAACACAGTCAGATCTCAATTTATATGCTCTCTTCTGGGACATTTACACATAAGTCATCCTATTTAGAATTATATGTACAGTTATAAATCTTAAACTCTATTCAATTTATGTGCTTGGAGTTATTGGTAAACCTACTGCATCTGTGTAATAATGTCATTTGGCCCATGGTAAGTAAGTATATTTATGCCAATATCATTGTCCTTAACCTGATAAATCATGAGTGCACCTCGTTTAAGGAAAAGAAGAATCTTAAACATATAACCATATGCAGGGCTCAAAGCTAACTATTTCAGAAAGAGAAAGAAACAAAAAGGGAGATAGATACATCCACATGCACACAGTGGCTGAGAGGGGAAGAGAAAGAAACATAGGAAATGAGAGAGAACAAGAGAAAGACAGGGAGCTATTTGGTGAATATTAAAAAGTCTATCTCATACCAATCAAAATGGTCATTATTAAAAAGATGAAAAGCAATAGACACTGGTGAGGCTGTGGATAAAGAGAATGCTTACACACTGTTGTTGGAAATAGAAAGTAGTTCAGCCATCATGGAAAGGAGTTTGGAGATTTCTCAAAGAACTTAAAACACAACTACAATTCAACTCTGCCATTTTATACTAAGCATATATCCTAAGGAAAATAGATCATACCACCAAAAAGACACATGCACTGGTATGTTCATCGCAGCACTGTTCACAATAGCAAAGACATGGAATCAACCTAGATGTTAATCAATGGTGGATTGAATAAAGAAAGTGTGATACATATACACCATGAAATACTGCACAGCTGTAAAAGGAATGAAATCATGTCCTTTGTAGCCACATGAATGGAGATGGAGGCCATAATCCGAAGTGAATCAACTTAGGAACAGAAGACCAAATACCACATATTTTCACTTATAGGTGGGAGCTGAACATGGAGTATGCATGGACATAAACATGAGAACAACAGACAGTGTGGACTACTGGAGGGGAGAGAGTGGAAGGCGGCAAGGTTTGAAAAACTACCTATTGGGTACTATACTTAGAACCTGAGTGACAGAATCATTTGCAGCCCAGACCTCAGCATCACAAAACATTCCCATGTAACAAACCTGCACATGTAACCCTTGAGTCTAAGATAAAAGTTGAAAAAAAAGGCCAAGAAGAAAAAATCATTCAC